GTTTATTGTTATTGTCAATGACAGGGGATTAATCTACGTTCTTTAAGCTACAAATCGAATGCTTGGTCAAGACGAAAGTTGTCAGGATAACGTTGTATGACTTGTCCAAAGTGAACTAAACGGGGTACGCATCGCGAGATTGAGTGTCAACCTCTGCAAACAATTGAGATTTTAACAATGTTCTTGTAATTACTGGTTCCCACCTGCCAGAGAGTACTAATCTACGTTCTTTAAACTTCGAATGTAATCCATGACAAGGAAAACTGATGCACGTTTAGCAGTGTAAATCCGATTAAAACCTGTTGCAATCACATAACCACTAAACAGGCAACACTTTTCTTCGTCATGCATTACATTCGAAGTTTAAAAAATGTAGATTCGTACCCTATAACGGCTGATTCGTCTTAGCCAAGCACTCAACTTGTAGCTGAAAGAACGTAGATTAATCTCCTGTCAGTGGCAATAACAATAAACGACCAAAACACTGTTAAAATCACACTTTATTTGCAACGGTTGACACTGTATCTCGTCGTGCGTACCCCGGTTAGTTCACTTTGGACAGCTCGTACATCGTTATATGGACAGCTTTCGTTTAGCTGAAGCATTCGATTTGTAGCTGAAAGTACGTAGATTAATTCGCTTTCATTGATAATAACAATAAACGACCAGAACACTGTTAAAATCGCATTTAAACGCGGAGTACCACTTTTTTTTCGACCGGTGGCGCCACCCGCGGCAATTCGCTCAAACTGCTAGCCAAATAATACCGACAGGTGAGTGAACATTCCTAGTGATGGAAGTAATCTACGTTCTTTAAACGGTGTATCTAATGCAAAACGAAGAAGAGCCATGCCCGTTTAGTGGTGTAAATGTAATCGAAATCTATTGCAAGTAGGGTTGCCGCCCTATAAGGGGCTGCGGTAATACAGGCATAACTAATTTTACTAATTTAGGGGTTCTGCACTATTGGGTCCATGCATTAAGTCCGGAGGGACAATTTGAGACAAATGACGTTCATTTTAAGCGCTTAATTACTGAGATATTCGCATTTTTCCATCACTAGGAATGTTCACTCACCTGTCGGTATTATTTGGCTAGCAGTTTGAGCGAATTGCCGCGGGTGGCGCCACCGGTCGAAAAAAAAGTGGTACTCCGCGTTTAAATGCGATTTTAACAGTGTTCTGGTCGTTTATTGTTATTATCAATGAAAGCGAATTAATCTACGTACTTTCAGCTACAAATCGAATGCTTCAGCTAAACGAAAGCTGTCCATATAACGATGTACGAGCTGTCCAAAGTGAACTAACCGGGGTACGCACGACGAGATACAGTGTCAACCGTTGCAAATAAAGTGTGATTTTAACAGTGTTTTGGTCGTTTATTGTTATTGCCACTGACAAGAGATTAATCTACGTTCCTTCAGCTACAAGTTGAGTGCTTGGCTAAGACGAATCAGCCGTTATAGGGTACGAATCTTCATTCTTTAAACTTCGAATGTAATGCATGACGAAGAAAAGTGTTGCCTGTTTAGTGGTTATGTGATTGCAACAGGTTTTGATCGGATATACACCGCTGAACGGGCATCATTTTTCCTCGTCATGGATTACATTCGAAGTTTAAAGAACGCAGATTAGTACTCTCTGGCAGGTGGGAACCAGTAATTACAAGAACATTGTTAAAATCTCAATTGTTTGCAGAGGTTGACACTCAATCTCGCGATGCGTAGCCCGTTCAGTTCACTTTAAATAGCTTTTCCAACGTTCTATGGACAATTTACGTATTGATCAAGCATTCAGTTTGAAGCTCAAAGAACGTAGATTAATCCCCTGTCATTGAAAATAACAATAAACGACCAGAACACTGTTAAAGTCGCATTTAAACACGGAGTCTCCTCGCTCTCCGGCAGGCGAGGCCTGCGTGTATGGGCGGACGCGTGCGTGGACATCGGGAGCTGGAGCTTCGGCCCCTGTGGCCCCCGCCTTCGCGCGCGCGTTCGCCGGGGCCGCTGATGCAGTCGGGCTGGGGTTCCCGGCTGCATCCAAAGCGGCCCGGCAGTGCCGGCGTCGGAGTGCAGTCCTCTGACGTTGGCGGAGTAGTGTAGGGGGGGTGACCGTGGTATCGATCACGTCTGGGGGGCATTTCATCGCCCCCACGGAACGGGCTCCCCGATAAGGGTGACAAGACTAAGAGCACAGGCGCGGCGGTGCGTTCATACGAGATCCTGCCACCGCCGAGTTTCGCCCGAGAAGGCTGCTGTGGGGGTTTTAGTGGGTGCGAGTCCCACCCAGGACTCCGAGGCGCGCATAAGGCATTACCGCCGCTAAAAAAAAAAAAAAAAAAAAAAAAAAAAAAAAAAAAAAAAAACTGATAGCCTGTGCAGTATACATATGTAATTGATATAATAAAATATAGAATTGCGCGAATGAAAAAAAAAGAAGAAAAATACAGAAGAGGACATATATATATATATGTCTTCAATGTTACATATGTATTTAACTAATGCTCCTCACATATATGTTGTGCGTATTTATAAATGTGCGTACCATAAGAAATTTGGTTCCCATACACTATTTATGTAGAATAAATACGAATTTTTGAAACACCCCATATGGTGTAAGATAATGCGTTGAATCACGTTGGATTATCTTTGCGATATTGTTTGAAAACAACTGTCAGTCCCAGTTCGATAAAATGTATACACAATAGAAATCGACATGTTTATTTAGTTCCTGAATGTTAATGCAAAAGTGAAAGTGGACCTTAAGAAATAATTAAGTGCCGTATACTTTTCAAATATTGCGATACGACTTGTTAACAAGGGGATTCACCAACATCGCGTCATTAATCCCAAATGTATTTGTCAGTGAACCGTGTTAATGTCTGTCACTAATATCAACATATATGTTACTATTAGATACAAAGTACAATATCCGTATATGATTTGCACTAAACTCATGATAATTTCATATTGTTAAGATGTGCAAGGACATAACCTAATTTGAACATTTTGTGATTATTATTAACCTTATTCTCGTTCGTTGTGAAATTTGTACTTTTTACGAAATGTTTTCTTGATTTAAATTTTGATAAATGACATTGATTTTCTTATTTTCTACAAGTATCCTGCAATTTTCTTGCACATAATTGAAATATCCATTGCAACATTATTGGAGGTATAAATTGTGTTTATTTTGATCAAATGTATTAATGTATTATGAATGACATGGAACAAATAGAGAATCCAAATATTGAAAAACTTGGTTCTCACTATGCATTATTAGTTGCATTAAAAACCATGAATGAACGTTGTCGACAGTTGGAAACAAGATTAGCTACTGTCGAAGAAGAAAATATGTGTTTAAGGCTTGAATGTGGTAAAGACGAATCAACAGCAATTACAAAAGTCAAAACTGATAGTGAGGAAACTGTTGTACAAACCTTGAAGGTTCATATAATATTTCCTTTATAATCATAAAATATTTTAACTTTATGTGTAAATACAATGTACTTTAATACAGTTTGGTACACAGGAAAAAGTAGAAGAGCTTACAAAGCAGAAGTCTCAACTGAATCATCAGATTCTTATGGTAGCAGCAGAAAATCGTCAATTATGGAACCGATTAACAAAATTAACAAGAACTAATAAATCATTAGGTAGTCAATTAACAAAAATTTCTGATACACTTAAACAACATTCTCCTGCTCAACCAACAGATATTGTATCTTATAATTTTCAAGATATATCCCACTCCCCAAAACAACAAGATGATAATCAACAATTAATTACAAGTAACGGTTTGTATATACTTATGAAGTGTTTATTACATTAAGCATATTTCTCAGTCTAACAATTTTATTGTATTTTATTACTTTTATACTTTCAGGTGAAGGGGAACAAAGTTTGGAAGAAATATCGTTAAGACTTATCAACAGCATTATGTTAGAAAAATCAGACCTCGAACAGCAATATGCAGAAGTAAGTAAAACGTGCTATGAACTCTGTAGATGTTATGGTCTGCGATTAATGGTATTTCATAATCATTTAATTAGATGGTTGAGTTACAAAACAACACTGAAGTAAACTTACAAAATATTGGATTTACTTATCCAGAAGATTCTGATACAGATTTAGAATTACTAAAACAACATGACATTAGAATATCTCAAATAAAAAATACATTATTAGCACAACAAACTAAGTTAAAGAGGGCACTACAACATTTTAAAAAGATGAAAGAAGGTAAGCAATAATATACAGTGTCTCCATAAATTTAAAGAAAGTGTACCTTACATATGGATCTTATAGGAGCGATGTGTAACAATTGCCGCATGAATGCGAACAAAAAAATGTGTCAAGCTGGCACGCAATTCGATTCAGATGACAGTTTTAAAGAACACGGTGCAACTCAGACTAGCCTTCAAACTGTGAACCAACCTTTAGAAAGATGTTCCAATCCAGCAGAGAATGCTGAACAAGACAATAAAATTTGTCCGTTGTGTGGATCTTTTTATGGGAAAGTTACTTCTTTTGCAGAATTTCATGAACATGTTTTGAGTCATTTTTATAAAGAAGTATCTATAGATGGTTTTGAGATTGTTGACTAATAGCTGTTTAACGTACGAATAATGATAATAATCTTATGTAATTGATTTCTTAGCAAGTTCCATAAAATATTATGTTGTTTTAAAAAAAAAGAGGTAAATGTAAATACTATATGTACATTGACTGTAAGTGTGTTAACTTTATCTGGTGTAGAAGTGTTTGAACTACTGAATTTTGTAACTGCTGATCCAGATAAGATTTAACGGAAGCAAGTAATCATCACACAAAAATGCAATACAAATAAAAAGAATTAATTTATTCTATAAATAGTCAATAAAATTGTTAATAATGTTACATATACTATTTTGTTTTTATGCTGTGGCGATTAAAAAGAATTAAGATATTTACGTTACAATTGCAATGACACTATACTTTAAGAATAAAGTAAGGATGGTGAATATTTTACTTTTAATATTGTTTAAGTTTATTTTCACTCGAACTCTATTTGATATAAACAAAAGTACCTTGTTGGTGTAAATTATTCTTTAATTGCACTTAAAGGTGCATCTACAGGTTTTAGATTTGTCTCGTCAGATGATTCTTTTGTAGTTGGCTGAAGTAAATTCTGATTAAACCATTCAGGTCTCTTCTTAGGTAATTCAATGATTCTCTGTTTCTGTATAAAAATGTGATAGTGCATTATACATAAAATACAGGAGTTCCTATATAGAATGTAAATTATAATTGGAAACATAATTAACAGAAGTACCTTCCAAAATTCATCCTTCAGTCGTTCCTTTTCCCCTTCATATAACACTAAAACTTCTTGTTCTACTGGACTCAATCCTAATTCAGTTTGTATGGCCTCTTGCATTTGTTCTGTTTCCTTTTTTACTATTTCATAACAATATCCTGTGCACATTAAAATAATATTAATATACTAAAGTTTGCTTACTAACTAAAATTAACATTCATGGCCACCCTATAGATCTTACCACACAATGTATGAGCCTCGTAATCATGACCACATTTTCTACACATCAAAAGATTAGTTTTCGGAACATGTGGTTTCCAATTATATTCAGGTAGACCATATCTTCTATTCAATCGTTTTTCTAAACTACGGCGCTTTTTAGGTACTGCCCATAAAAATGCATCATTCAAAATATCCTTTAAAGATCGACTAGGTAAATTAGGAGCCTGCACTTGATTCACAACATGGTTACGCTCGATCACACATAAACCAGCTAAATGAAATACAAATAATACATTTCAACAATAGTATGGAATATACACAATAGCTAAGTGTATATCTATTTGAATGACATTATATTCCGATCCATTTGTACATAAATTTAATCGGTGTTCCTCTTAGAGGTTAAGACATATTAAATACGTATTTAGTTTGTTATTTCTAATGCGTTACGCGTATAAAAGTAAATACAATATAAAACTGATTTTCTTATGACCTGGTGGAAAACCGCGACCAAGAATAACATCAACTGCTCGTTCAAATGTTTGAAAAGCATGGGATAACCTTCTCAACCAGCCGCTCGCCATGATTAAGGATTACTATAGATCAATTAGTTTGAGACATATCAAAACACGCGAATTAAAGGGCAATTCTCATCATATATAAATTTCTAAAAACATTAAGGCTCGTATTTATTTAATTTATTTACGTTATTCCATTCATTTCAATTACTATAGGAATAGTATAATTATAAAAAATTCTTCTTCGAACTTATTTTTACAGAATGTAATTGTATAAGATCTCTTTTTATGATATTCAGAAAAGCACATTAGAACTTGGAGCGTTAATAAAATTTAATTGATTTACAGTGGATAAAAAAAGTAATTGGCACACTATCAGGTCTCTAAATATGTGTAAGTATATATATATTGAACAGTACGTATAGGACATAATGATAAAAACCGTATCCTTTGAAAGTTTATTACAAATGGATGTATAGGAAGGTAATAGAAATTTTTTTGATACAAACTGAGAAATTATAAGATTATTTTAAAAAAATGGATGTATATCAGTTTCATCCAGTTTTACCCACTACATGTTTCAAATTTAAATGGGCGAGATGTCGCCAACAAGCACCCTATTCGTCATTTCTTCGAAAGTCTACAAACGATTTCTTCGGAAATACTCGATGACCGAAGTCAGTCAAGATCGTCAAGATTCACAGGTATAAGTCAGTATAAGTATACCATTCCGATTTAATGCCGTACACAGCAGGTGTATTTACAAGTGGGGAAGGGAAAGGGAAAACCGAGTGGGGGAGCGATTTTGAAGTGTCGGTGGGGACGTGGGGACTAGTGGAAGTTCCACTGTGGAACTCGAAAGTCTTTGGGAGTTGTATGACTCGGCTCACTACAGTTTTCGCTATGGCGTGTATAGGGTCGAGTAGGCTCTGTGCTCGTGCAGAGAAATTGTGCCAGTTCGGACATTTCGCCCAATTACGAAGGAAAGTTTCAACGACATGTGTCAAGTCACGACCCAGAATCGAGCAGCAGACCAGCACTTTGGTCCAACACTGTCAGGTACGTTGATTTCGCTATCAATGTTACCTTAGTGCACAAGTAATCTTATCTCTGATAACTACCCAGTTCTAGCGCTAAATTTCGAAATTGTTCCTACGCTTGTACTATGTTCCTATTCTACGATACAGCCATAAACTCATTCAATTTCATTCATTTTTCGTGGAATATCATAACTAATCCGTGTGTCGATGCCGACATAACCTACTCTCTCTTCGATGAATCTCGTGATTTAATTTAATGTGTCATGCAAGGGTTTCTAAACATTCGGATGAAAATGTATCAAATAATCATTAATATCTATGAATTGTGTGATACAAACAATTATAATTGATTTTACAGACTACGTAAATTACATAATGTCTAGTTAAATGTGTCGGTAAAACACGTTCCTTCACCGAGAAACTGTTGAACCTGAAATAATGAAAAGTAAACGATCGGTTTTTCGTGTACGTATATCGCGTTGCTATTTTAAGAGCAAAGTCACGTGTAAGAAAATAGGAAGCGACAGATATACATAAAACATTGCGTGCAAAATTCGTGAAACCACGTTTTTGTCCGGTCGAGCTGTCAGCTGTTCCTAGCAGACGACCTAGTTGGCGTCTGTTACTTACGTAGTTCAAATTACCATCGTAGGATAGTATTATAATAAAAGCATCGACAACTTCTTCTCAGAACCATATTAGAAATCGTAATTTGAATTATATTCTATTAACATTCTCATTACATTAAACGATCTTGTTTGTAATATCGTCTAAGCTTTGCGTTGACTGTGTGAGCGCCGGTCGACCATCGAACGCATGCGCAGTGGTCAAATTCGAATACGTTTTCGCTTGAACGCGCGATTACAAATATGGAAAGTTCAATTCGTATCGTGTTATTCAGATGAAATCGTCAGAAATTATTGCAAAATTATATTATACGTCTGTTTTCATTAGGAACAATGTTTTCCGTTATGGAATATTAATTTTCTCGCCGATAGTTTCTAATTCCATCTAAATTTCCGAGCACCTTAATGGCCTCTAACGAAAGTTTTCCATAAATCGTTCGACGAACATCCAAACGAATTGCACGACTTTCTCTGCTCGAAAGTCACACGGAGACCGGATTTTGAAATCTCTTTCGGTCGGTCGGTCGGTCGGGGAATCGAAGACGAGGAGAGTTCGGAACACACAGGCGACAGCTAATCGTCCGTACTTATTACGCAAGTCTTAGGCAAACGATGGTCAGCCGTTGTAACCCGTGCAGAAAGATTCTTTTCTCTATTTCGCAGCGATACCGATCAATATTATCGAATTGAGCGAGAACCGGTCGTCGCGGGGACTCCCGGGACGAATTTCATGTCCCGCTTCTTCGTAAGTAGGCTAACTGGCCCGTGAGATATCCTTCTTCGAGCATGGTTAACCTAGGGAATTCACGCTCTTGACTTTCTCGGCTTGTTTAGTTGGGCTCCGCGCGTATAGATCTCTGCTCTTACTCACCGATTCTCCCTATGAATCGAGAGTTGTACGTTTTTCTTTTTTTTTGCAGACCACGGTTTCTATAATTCTGTGTAATTTCTTACTAATACTGCGTATGTCGTATTTTACGCAGAAATTACTTGTTTAGAGAGTGGTGCACTGTTTTTGTCACGGTTGAAAAGTAAGAGGAAACTTAAAATAAAATTTTGGGGGTATTTCTTTTAAAAGGAATAAAATTCGAAAAATTGTAAAATTAATTCCCATTTGGCTTATTAAATACTCTTTTCCTATTAAATTATAGAATACCTAGAATGACACAATTCAAAAATGTCTTTATCCCTCAGTTTCCAGAATTCTGATACGTTTTTGACTTACTATTTTCTCAAGGGCGAAAGTGTATGTTTTCTAATACATATTTTTATTCCTTTGTTTTATTGTGTAATACACATTCTGTTATGTAAAAGTATCTGTCTCCTATTCAGAGAAAGATACTGAAAAATATTTAATCAGGTGAGAAATAGCTAACAGATTTAACTCCCCTCGAAATGTTTCCATTTCCTTCAAGTGTAAATTTTGTAAATTAAGATTCAAGAAATGTGGCAATATGTTCGTCAATAATATGATGTTTCTTAATATTTAGGAAAGGAAATATAAGCGTTTCGGAAAAGTATGAATGTAAAATTATCTAAGTTGATCTAATCTGTCAAAATAGGGGTATAAAGATTGCTCAGTAATCGTGAATATTTTGGTTGCCAACACAAGGGTTAAACGTAGTGAACGTAAACGTCACTTCGGTGACTTCAACGCGTGTTAAACGCACTATCGCCGAACTCGTAGCGATCATTTAGATGAAATTCAATTCTATATAATTATTTTCCATGAAACATTATTTCATCTAAAGGGTGACGTTTATTATATACATACACATAATACTTAGATCGTAATTATAGTCGTTTATTCGACATGTTAAGGGTACCGGTACCATCGTGGCAGCAAAGTCAAGCCTTATGGTGGATAGAGAGTGTTCCGGGTCGGTTTCTATGTCACGAAGTGAAATTCCTAATCGTCATTAAATGCAAATATAAGGTCATTAACACCGTTTGATTTGCAAGTTTTGTTCCACCGAGCGTCGCTCGCCATAACTCGCGCCACAATAAGGGAGATTTCCTTCATTGACGCACGCAGCGTCTTTTGCTTTTGAAATTCTGTTCTCGTGAACGATCCACGTGCGTACGCACGCATAGGAATGCGTGAATAGTTTTACAATTACGATTGTTGTGTTAAATTACTGCGCACTGCATTCGATGAGCCAGTCCGTGAATTAACATAAAGGTCTCGCGCGCGACTCGTCGGCGCGTTTGAACCACGAGGCTGTTAAAAGCCAATCAGTCACCTTGAGTTATTTATCCCGGGAACCGTAACTGTCTCTAAATTAATTTCACATTAATAGCTTGCATATGTATATTCCAATCTACCGATAAGAAAATATATTTCGTTAAGTCGATTTTCATTCAGGCCTAATTTAAGTGGAGGAATGTAGTAATGTAACAGTTTATTAAACGGTCCACGAGGGTTAATGTGAGAAAGGGCATAATAAGACTGATATCTGCGTCAATAATTTTAAAGAAATATATACAGTAGTATTGTCTGTTATGGATCCCTTTAATGTATGTATGTATATGCAAAATACTTTGTATTGTAGTTCAGACTTCTTGAGTCTTCTTAAATATTCACGGTGTTTGCAACATTCAATTCATATGTAATTTTATATTCTTGTATACTACGACTAATGTCAATTACTGGACAGAGGTTATAAATAACTTTTTCACAGAAATTCACAAATTGAAACTTGAATACGGTAAAGTGCGAATAGAATGTCAGAATCACTAAACCAGGGAGGGAAACATAAGAAAAATATGTAATAACTAAAGTAGCAATGTGTAATAACTAAATTAGCGTCGTAAACTTTATCTTACACGTGTGCAACGATTTTGCCTGCAATAATCCGGGGTGAAACCTGTTAGTCTGTCCCTGAAACCATTACTTTGCCAGGACTGGGTTTATTGAGACATTTTTCTTGTTTTTTTTTTTCCATTTTTATGTGATCTGTTGTCGGAACAAGTTCGTGATCCTATAATTCTGATACGAATCACGCGTTCACCTGAGACATTCACATCGATTGGCAGTACCACGATGCTCGTTGCGATATACCACATCCGGTTGCTTGTTTTTCGTGCTTTTTGAGCGTGGTTCACCCAAGGCCGCGTTAATTAAGGGTATTTATTTTTCGAGGACATATCACTGGTATGTACATCATCGTTCAGGATGCTTTTCTCTCGAACAATGGTCGGCATTGCCTTTACGCGAGATGCTCGTCACAAATCGACCAAGAAAACGTACGCTCGTGACATTTACGAACCTTTACTTCACCGTGATTTCTTTTGCATGGTAACCTTTGACTGGCTTTGAACGCGTACCGTTCGCGGTTTTTTATCCACGGATGAAACCGTCGATCCAACCTTTGCCCCGTTTCAACCTCAATTTCTCTCTATCTGTTCACACTTGTATTAAAAGAAGTTTAATATTTTCGAAGCCACTTATTATTATGTGGCCAGTGTCTCGGGATTGGTAGTTGCGTTCACGTTGGGTGTGTTGTGTACGTGTGAAAATTAAATTCTACATCAGAATTCTTTTTAAAAGTCAACTAGATATGCGAAGTAGACAAAGTGAACAGTGACTAATGGACTGTGAATGTTTGTTCAAAATTAAGTTTTTGTATAGTACCTTACAACAAGTGGAGTGGAACGAAAAATGAGTTCATACACTTATGGAGTTATTAGATTCAAAGTAAGGTTCGTAATTAATTGTAACTTGTTAATCTCTTTAAATAAAAATAATATTCTTATTCGTTTTTATTCTATTTTGATTTGTAAGTGCTTACAATTTGCAGTTCGGTAATGAAAATTAAAGTTCACTCTAGAACATTAATTGAAATTTTACATTTTTTTCTTATACGAGCACGATTTGTCCTGAAATGGAATATTAGCCCATTTTTTTGTGTAATTAGTCGAAGTTAATCGGAGCACTGTAAGCATTTCTTCAAATTCACTGACTTTAAGTTTTCGCTAAATTTTGAATTACCCATAACTGACTTTTAGAGTCTGAAATATGAGGAACGAATTATGCAACTATAAACAGAACGAATCCACATATTATGTCATTTTGAAAAAGGTTGCACGTTCACTGACAGTTACTTAGCTACAGTCCCATAGAGATTTCCCAAACACTTTCTCTTTTTCAACGTTACATAAATTTTTCTCCGAACAGCAAACAGACGACGAGTAAAACAGAAATCCTACAAGCAAAATAAAATGTACTTTTATTGGATCGCTTCGATTGAAGATATTGGAGATTAATTATAAAATATTTAAGATTATTAATACGTAAAATATAAATCACATTTCATATTTTTGTGATGAATTCATTGCACTCTAAGCACGACACTTCCATACATACTGGTAATTATTAGTTGCGTACAGTTAT